GAACGGCTTCTGCTACGCATATGGTTCTGCTCAGGTGCCCTCCGCCCTCCTGCTCTCGTCCTGCTGGATGCCCTCCTCCTGCTTCTCTCTCATGCTCAAACTCCTCCCAGATCTGGTGCTCAACCGCAGGCTTGGGGTCCTCGTACTGTAACGATGGGGGGAAGAAGTGGGCCTTGGCTCCTCTAGGGTACAGCTGCTCTCCTCATCCTCTCAGACTCAAGATTCTCCTACAGGACCGCAAAGGCTCAGCCAACAGCATGGCGGCCGCACAAGAATGTGGGGATTCGAGGAGGGTTCGAGGATACGCCCTACTCGTGCTCATGCATGAAGAATTGCTCCTGTACTAGCAGCTTCCCTCCTCTTGCTCCCATCCTCTTGCTCCCATCCTGCCCTGCTGGTTTCCCTCCTAGATTGTCTACCTCTTACTCAGTCTACCCCTCTCTCTTTCCGGGTGTTGAACTTCCAACTTAACAGCTCCCCTTCCTATCTCTCACTTTCTTCTCTTCCCTCCCTTCTTTCTCTCCATACGCATTGCTAACATTCCGGCAGGTTCCAAAAACACTAAACCTGGGAAAGGTGGGTTGCCTCCCCTCCCTCCCCTCCCCCCTCCACTCTCGTACCTCTCAACTCCACTCCACTCCACTCCACTCCCCTTAACCGTGGATCTCCTCCCCTCCCCTCCCTCCCCTTGCACTGCCAGGCTGATCGAGTTGCAGGAACTTGCCAGTGTGTCAGTACAGACGAGAAGGAGACAGGCCCTGCCAGCTACTACAATGGTCTGCTTCTCCCCTCGATCCCTCTCCGCTCCCTCTCTGTTTCCTTCCCCTCACCTTCCCCTGCTCTCCCTCCTGCTCTCCCTCGTCCATCTCACGTGCATGCAGATCTCAAGAAGATCTACGAGAACTCTAACAGCGCCGGGACATGTCACTGCACATGCGGAGGCGTTGAGAGCACTTAGTAAAATCCTCTCCGTGTACAATAGATGACAGTGCCTTCACAAGTTCCGAACTACTAGGCTGGTGTACTACCGTATGACAGATCGGCAGTGAGCATAGTCCCGCCGCTGACTGAGTGACTAGCAAGTGCCATGATTCATGATCCGGCCGTTTGGCCTGTGCGACAGTCAGGGTCACAGTCAAGCCTCCGAGGCTCCTCGACTCTAGGCTCCTAATTGTCCTCGTACTGATTTTTAACTTAACTTTGAGTAAAAGTTATGAGTCATGATCGGGCCCATGATTCCGGGCCGAAGGCGCGGGGGCCAGGAAGTATCGAAGTCGCGCTTTTGAATGGCAAATTTGATTTGTTCCTTTCACACGCGACACCTACACCCTGGGAAGTAGGCTTTTACTCAAAGGTGTTTTTGGCTCCTTTTCTAAAACACTTATATATGTATAATAGTTTTAGATCTCTGAAATAGTTTCCGAGAGTTTGCTTTAAAAATACTCAATTTTGATTTGTGTGTTGAAATACTACCCCCACCCCCAACAATCTCAGTTACCAACCCCTTCTGATGTTGTGTGCATTCCACTACCAATAGAAGTCAAGGCAGGATCCCACTATACACCCCCACCCACCTCATCTCAACCGTTCCTCAGACATTTTCATTTCGAATTCTCTCAATGTGATTTATATTTTCAAATTATCTCCCAAAGCATTGAAATGTTGGGACCAGTGACCCTGACGATGGGGTCTTTAGAAATGTCATGATCCCCACCCCCATATTTACTAACCCTGCATCTAATTAAAGGGGTGGTCGGTGTTAGTCGTGCGAGCTCATGGGAGATTGCGGGTGATTGCAATCTCCCAGAGGAAATAACCCTGAGATGGGGTGAAAGTACATAAAATAGGGGGTGGTGTTCAATAAATCTCGACCGGGAGATACGACCCGTCCCACCAACATCCAAAAACAAAGAATGAGCAGATTGGACTCTATAAAGTACCTTGACGAGAAGGGAATACGATATCACGGGTCCATGACCATGACTTTGCACGGGTGTACAGACTTTCTTTTTAACTAGCATGAATCTGACCAGAGGGTGGGGGTCAGGCTGGAAGAGGGGTCAGGGTGGAGGGGTTGGGGGAAGATTGAAGCGAGATTCCATGGTTGAAGGCGTTGATTAGCAAAGATGAAAGCCTGGGAAGTTCATGAGAGACGGGCCGATGCAATGAGACAGACAATGCTAGATTAGTATGCAGAGTGCAGAAGAGGAGAGCATGGGGGGGACAATAGGCAAGAAGACGATGGATCGCTAACAGAAGGAGGCCAAGCAGGAGGCGAAACTAAGTGCATGCTGTAGCCATTAGAAACGCCAGGTAGAAGCATAGCATTGTGATCGGGACACAGCCTTCGAAAAAATTGAACTGATTCTAAGTGTGAATTGTGAAATTCCTGTAGATTGAGTAAGCTCGTTGACTAAGAAGAAGACTTGAACTATTCCAGATCTTTTGTAGCAGAATGTAAAAATAATTCCTCTGTTGTACGACCCGACCACATGAACGAAGTTTTTCAAGTGACAATCTGAAATACTGCAATACAGAATCATTTTTCTCGGTCAAATGAATGAGAACCTATTTGTGTTCAAGTAAGATTTCCTAGAATCAGCAAGAGTCTTGTTCTTGATTTTAGCTTCACAGGAATTGATGTCAAACACAATACTGGTCAAGAACGGTAAAACCAAATAGAGTTTGCGAGTCCGCACCAGAACCACTTCCATGCTGCTGAATTCACAATCAGCAGGTGCCAGGAAAAGAGGTCACAGTGAATTGTCAGATTTCGATATCCCTTCGTATCCTGTCCCGAGCAGTCATAACGTAGTCTCGATCGTGTCAAGACGTGTGTCTGATCCATTGCAACAGATACCCATGGATCATTCCAGCATGATGAGCAGGGGGCGGGAAATTCCAACCCATTGGGAGCGTCGCCAGCTGCTAGACACACTCCTACAGAATCACATTATCGTCAACCCCATCCCAGATCCAAGTTCGCAGCAAGCAGTCCCGTGGTTTGTCTTTCTTTAAATCATCCATTTCTTGCTTACTGGTCTACTACAGCAGCCTGATCCATCAAGACTACTTCTTGGGTCCGAAAGCATGCACCGATCTGCTCCTCACCCTATGGATTCACCAAGGTCTTGATGCTGCTTTACTGAAAGTGATTTGCGGGGATACTGACCAATACATCTTAGCTGTCCTCCATATCAACTCAATCAAACTCCATTCGGTGGAAACTATCCACAGCACATTGTGAATCGTAGTTGGAATATGCTCCCCAACAGAAGACGGGCATACCATCATGTATGCGTTTTTGCTTCTTCGCTTGCTTTCTTTTGACTATTCACATAGAATGGCCCAGCTGGACCTTTGGAGAACGATGAATCGGATCCCAGCGCGCCAGCACCTGTTCAGGCGAGGCCAACCTTGCCCGATGGCTACTCTCCGATTTATAGCGCGCGACAAGACGGCCTTGAGGATTCAAATCACCTCGGTATATCTGCGACGAGTGCATTCTTTTATGACCATATCTCTCTGCAGGATTCCTTGTGGGTGCTGGAGATGAGCCTGAAGTGACAGCGTTGCTGGAAGTTGCTTCTGAAAATCTGGAGCTCAAGCAGGTTTTCGTTTTTTCTCTTATTGGCATCAGATTTTGACTTTCTATATTTTTGGTAACATAGCGTTTGCGAGAGGTCTCTTTGGAGTTGAATGAGCTGCAGGCAAGGTATTGTTTCCGTTCCTATGCATCTGACATGCTTGCAGAATTTAGTACAAAAGAAGCAGATGGAACAACAGATTTCGCGACAGCAACAAGTAAGACATATTGTTTCTTATGCTCGTTTGGTCATCCTCCACAGGAGTGGAAATCTCGATACTGGACAGCTCAAGAGCATCAGAGATTTCTCGAAGGGCTTAAGGTATTCCGATGGTGCTAGGATCTACACATCGCTCTGACCCTCCCAAGGTCCATGGGCAACGAAATTTCAAAGCGATTGCAGGATATGTTGGAACGAGAACCTCCACACAGGTTGAGATTATAGCCCACAGGCTCTTCGGTACTCATCTTTTATTGAACAGGTTAAAACACATGCGCAAAAGTTTTTTCAAAAGATGGCGCGTCAGAAAGGCAACGAAACATCCAGGTCCTCCTTCAGGCAACTTTGCGCGAGAATGATGTGGTGGTGGAACAGCTCTGGAGGCGCCGATGGTTCCACATGTGCTGAAGCCGTGAAGGACTCGGACATGAAGTCAGATGTCCAGTTTGACTCCAGCGAAGGTTTCCCTCTTGCTCTCGCGCTCTCCCTGGTTGAGTCGCTCCTTGCAGTTTCTGTTCCTTGCGAGACGAACCCATCAGAGGACACAACCAGTTCTCTGAGCACATATTATGGGTATGTCACATTTGCCTTCGATCTTGTGTCAAAATCAGCTTCTAACCTCTTGTACTGCAGAATGGGACAGGACAAATCATCTACCGAATCACTTCAGTCGTCATCTCCTAGGTCTGGGGATTCGTAAACGCACTTGAGAAACGTACAACTTGTTGATAGAAAATGTGTTGAATAGGAACATAGACCATAATTAATCTAATGAAAGGCAACTTGAAAGATTATGAATGATGGACAGATAAGAAATTATTTGAGCGCCTGATTTTCAAGATATCCGTCTTCATCGATATGGGAGGTCATGCATGAAACGAGAAAAGCCTTGTGGGCGTTGCAGAAGCTTCTCTGACCGTTATCCTTACCAGCCATTCAGTCCACATCCTCGACCTTTCCCTCCTCGTCCTCCTCGTCCTCCTGACCTGAACTGCCGTAATTGCTCTCCGAAGATGATGTAAATCTACAAATCAGGTCACCAGTCCATGACGTGCATGGGGGTAGGGGTACTGGACTTCAGGGGTACTTCGTCATGAAAATTAGTGAGGGGGGGTCCTGTGAGCAGATTGGTGGGTACAATGTGTGGGTCCATCAGAATGGTGATGCCTATGTTGGGGTAGGGTTGATCCAAAGGTGGTGGGGGTTACGGGTGTAACGCGGCCGATAAAAGGCCTGCATGACAAGTGGGGCAGAGGGAGGAAGGCGAGGAGGAGCAGGAGCAGGGGGAGGAGGAGGAGGAGAAGCGACACATGGTGAAGGAAGGATGGAAAGAAGATAAAACTTGTTGGAGTAGAGCAATCAAAGTGAGAAGAAAGATGCATCCTTGAAGTTGGGTTGCTTCAGCAGCAAGCAAAACAGGTCCTTGTAGATCGTGAACAGGGGCAAAGGCGATGGTGCGAAGCAAGATTGTGCTGTGCCTCTTGCTCTTCTCCTTCTTCAGTACGCATCAAGTGAATTCGTTTGTTGTTTCGTTCCGTCCATCTGTGTTCAATGCTGGACAGCACGTTCAGAACCCGTCAGCGCTTCAATTACAGGTTTTGTCACGGACACCAGCAAGCGGAATGGCGACAGGGAACGGAGGCCCGAGTATCGATCCTCTTCTGAAAGAACTCTTCTCCTCTCATCGCAGACATGGACGCTGCTCTCTTCGCTCTGCTGGGAGGGAGAACGTCGAAGAAGTGAATCAAGGCATTTCGCTGCCAGTAGAAGAGTCGGGTGGGGGCGGGAAGGAGCCGGGGTCTGTGCATTCGTCCTCGAGCGCTCAGATCCACGAGATGAAACTACCGAAAGCTAGCGAGAGCCAGCCGAGTCAAATCAGCTTGCTCAGGAAGCCTACCCCCCGCCTGCAGAAACTTAGAGACCTGCTCTTCAAGAAAGACGTCATGGAGACGCTGACGTCGGCAGAGTTCGCGCTGAAACTTGACACCTCCGGTCTGTTCGCCAATACTGTTGGGATGGAGGCGAACGGAGTGAGAACGAGAACCACCATCGACTACGATCGCATCTTTCGCAGGCTGGGAGCGTGTTTCACCGCCATTGACATGTATGGCGCTGGTAGAATCTCGATGACCGAAGCAGAGCTGCTATCGTTGCGCGACAGACTGCTAGATATGCAGGAGCAGGTGAATGGAGATCTACACTCTATCGCTGCTTTTGTTGATTTGCACTCTCAGGTTGCAAGACGCGTCGAGGCTGGGTTTGCTGAAAGCAGCAGATCGAATATTGAAAACTCCAACGTAGACGCACAGTCAGAGGTGAAATCATCGTGTACCGTGTACCTGCATGTTGTGATTTGCATTCAAGACGGGAAGAGACAACGAAGGCGCTAGCACGTACATCAGCCAAGCAAAGTGAGTTTGCCGCTTGTGCGACCACATGTCGTGACATTCTGGACTTAGAGAATGGTTGGACAGCATGCGATCGTTTGACGTCTCAAGGTGAGATACGATTGCTCTCGCTCCTGTCGTCTACTGCTGCTGTCCCAACTCGTCGCCTCCTGCATCCCTGTGTGCCTGGTTACGCTTGGTCAGCATCGGAGGAGTTTTGCAAGCTGCCATTGAGGGTCGAGCGAAGGAGGTTTCGAGGCTGAGCGAGGAGGAGGAGAGAGGAGTAAGTCTTGCTCAGGTTGCAGACAATGTTCGTCGGAAGGAGGAAGAGCTCAAGCCTGTCCTTCAAGTGACTCTGCTTCATCTCGCTCCCTCTTGTCTCACAACCTGCCAAGGCCTTCGTACGCGAGGATGGGTCGTTGGACTTTGACTTCGGAACTCGAGATGAGGTGGAAGGGATGGACAGAGCAGGTGTGAGGGTTGAAGTCTTGTCGCTGCAGGTTACGAGGATGGGGAAAGAGCTGTGGGCGCGTCTGAACGGGGTCCCGCCTGGTGAGAGACAACTAATATGGAGGAGACGCAGTTGACAAATTGCGCAGGTGAGGAAGCAGCAGCAAGGAACTTGACAGCGTTGAAAGATGCTCTCTTGAATGATCCTGTTGGACTTGAGCTGGAGGTTGGTGACTTCATGCATCCTTTTCTTTCCTCGCACATGCATCTTGTTCTTCCCCATGTTGTATCTCTTTCTTGTACTTGTTCGTTTCCATTCGGTCCAAGTCTCCTCTCCTTCCTCCTTCTCCACGTAGCTTTCCTCTTTCTCTTGCTCGCTCCTCTTCTTCATCATCCGATTGATCATGGATTCAGGCCAAGGTGGTTCAAGCTCAAGATGATCTGATCATAGCAGAAGAGAGAAGAGATTCCTTGTACAGGTGACGGCGCTACACTGCCTGCCCTTGATCATGATCGCCGCCTTGTTTCTCTTCAGATCCCTTCAACGTCTTAGAGAAGGCGGCGAACTTCATGAAGATGCGGAAAAACCGAATCGAAATCAGAAGAGAAAGTCGTCGACGCGAAGTGACCCCAAGGCCTTCAACGAGGCTCTTGCAGCGCTCATCTCTGAGATTAGAGATTGGGAAGCTCGGGTTCAGCGAGCCGAGCAGTTCCTTGCCCTTCAAGAGGTTTCTCCTACTTCTCACTCCTTGTTTCACCTGCTCCCACTCAGCTCGTTTTCCTACCTCCCTGTTCCTCGTTCTTGCTCAGTCTTTTGTGAGCTCATTCCTTCCGCAGCTCCAGCTCGACATGGAGAGGATTTGTATCTACCTTACCTACGAGATCGAGCAGTCGGAGGAAGTGCAAGAGCAGCAGAAACTTGCTGTGGCTGAGTTTGGTAGGAGGGGGAGGGGGTGAATGTGGGGAGGAGGGGAGGAGAAGTAGAGGATTTGTGGAGTTGGGGTAAGGGGGTTGATGATTTCCCTCTCATGTGCTGGTGCAGGTCTGCTCGATGCTCAGGTCGTCACGCTAGATCAGCTCTCCGAGACCGTCCAGGATCGCAACGCAACCAACATCTACGACAGCCTGGGAGAGGAGGACAGCGTAGGGGAGGAGGAGCATGGTGGCATCGCCTCGCAGGAGACCTTCATGTTGGACGACGTCGTGAGGAAGAGCTTCATTGACTCCAACGAGCTCTCAGGCAATGCGAGGGAAGGGGGTGTGAAGCAGGGAGAGTGAATTCTTATTGCAGTGGTTGCAAATGATGTAGCTGACCTCGCAAGACGTCTGGGGTTGGACGAGGCAAGTCATCACCTACTCAACCCTAAATCCTCTCTCCTCGCTGTCTCTGTCTCTGTCTCTGTCTCTCTCCCCCACCAACCCCCCCCCCCCCCTCCTTCTCCTTTTCCCCCTCCTCCTCTCCCCCCCTCCTTCTCATTCTCCACGACCACCACCACCACCTCCTCCTCCTCCTCCTCTCCCTTCAATGATTAGAGTGCTGATGCTCTCGTCAGATCCTTGATGAGGGTCTGCCGCTGGTGCCGAAGTTTTCTTTCTCGTTTCAGGCGAGAAAGGCTTATTGTCCTCTCAAGCTGTTAATAGTCTTGCAGGACGTGGGAAGAAAGTTTGCCGACGGTGCGAGGTTCTACGTGGAGGGCAGCAAGCTGCTGGGAACGGACGTGCAGTACGCCGTCCGACTGATCATCAAGGTGCCCTCCCTCCTCCTCCTACTACTACTACTACTACTACTACTACTACTCCTTCTCCTCCTCATCATCATCCTCATCCTTATCCTTATCCTACTCCTCCTTCTTCTCCTCCTCCCCCTCATCCTCCTCCGCTTTCTCCTCCTCCTCATCCTACTCCTCTTCTTCTCCTCCTCCTCTTCCTGCCGAGCCCGTCTAATGGGGAGCTTGTAGGCCGCGCTCGGAGACACCCTCCAGCCAAGAGAGGTGCTCAATCCTCGTCCCCCTCCATTCTCTCCTCCTACTCTTGACACTCATCAACACGTGTCCGTCCCTCCTGAACTTATCCTGCTCCTTCCTCGTTCTCGCCCGCTATTGCTCTCTCCTCCCTCTCTCGTTGTCCCACCTCATCTTCTGCTCTGCATCCTTTCCCTTTCTTCACAACTTCGCAGGTCCGCACTCTCAGGAGAACAGCAAAGGACCTCATCACTTTCATCCCCTTCATCATCATCCTTCTTATTCCCCTCAGGTTTTCTTCTGACTCCTCTCAGTCACCTTCTCCGTCTCATCCTCCCTTCCTCGCAGCCCCGTCGGCCATGTCCTTGTATTCTCCTTCATCCAGGTAATCTTTATCCTGCTCTTTCTCCTTCCCCTCCTCCTCCTTCTGCTTGTCCTCCTCTCCATCTCTCCCTCCCTCCCTCCCTCCGACCTCCTTACCAACGCAAAAATACAGCGCTTCTTCCCGGATTTCTTCCCCACCCCCTACACCGATCGCCGTCAGGTACTTCCAACTGGTGGCTACTCGACTCTGACGAGCAGCGCAGAACCTCATGAGGATTTACCAATCCGTTGAGCTTGTCATGCCGGACACCAGCAGCGGCAAGCCCAGCAACCGCATCTCCTCCTCTACCGTCCGCAGGAATCGGGGAGGAACCACCACGCAGGTTGTGTAGAGGGGGGTAGGACTGAGGGAGATGAAGGGAGGTCAGGGGGTAGGACTGAGGGAGATGAAGGGAGGTCAGGGGGTAGGACTGAGGGAGATGAAGGGAGGTCAGGGGGTAGGACTGAGGGAGATGAAGGGAGGTCAGGGGGTAGGACTGAGGGAGATGAAGGGAGGTCAGGGGGTAGGACTGAGGGAGATGAAGGGAGGAAAGGGGGTAGGACTGAGGGAGATGAAGGGAGGAAAGGGGGTAGGACTGAGGGACTCGGATGAAGGGAGGTCAGGGGGTAGGACTGAGGGACTCGGATGAAGGGAGGTCAGGGGGTAGGAGATGCTGACGATCCAGTCTGGCAGATGCGACGAGAGCGAATGAAGAGATAAACTTCTAGTTACTGACTTAAGTATTCATTCGACTGTCTGTGCCCCGTATCCCGCCGGCCGATGGTTATCCCAAACAATAAATGATGATCCACCCGGTCACGTGATTAGATGATCGCCGGAGCCACTGTCGGTGTAAGGTCAAGAGTCTGACAGTGGCTCGGGGCCGGGCCCCGGGGGTCCGATCTTATCCGATCAACTCAGTTCTTTAGAGTAAAAGTTGAGTGAAAGACTCAGGTGGATGGATTATTAGCACCTCTGTAGGACCCTGAGTCATAGCTGTTGCCATAGGAAATTTTTGATCCTAAAAGTAAGTTTTAAGAGCACTATACACTAAATTCTATAAGTCTTTGTAAGAAGCCCCAGGTGGGCCCAGGAGGTCCCCGGGGGTAATAATGCTTGCGAGGGTGAAGGACGGGTGGAGAGGCTCGACCAAGGAGGGGTGTCTACTCCATTTGTGTCTCGTTTCAGGAGCTGAGGTGGGTAGGTCTGAAGTGCCAGCTGAGGGTGGAGGTGGTGCATCGAAGTTGAATGTGAGGGAGTAAAGGGGCGGGGAGGGTCCCATAGAGTGAAAAGTAGTAGGGTAGTGGACGTCTACGGGGGTAGTTTGGTAGGTACGTTCTACACGGGTCCAGTTGAAGTCCCACAGCCTTGGGGGGTATATCCGTGTAGACAAGGGTTGCTACGAGGGGGTAGGGTGGCAAAGGCGGACCAAGAAAATGGAGGTAAAAATGGAGTAAAGGGTAGAAAAATATAAAATGTTTTTGAAATTTCACTTACAAACTTACTTTATAAAATATTCTAGGAATAATAACACTAATAAAACTCCCCATCCTCGTCCCCCCCGTCCATGCACTCCCGTTCGACTTCAGGGCTTTCTTGTGTGGAGGAGTGCGAGGACGTTCAGCTGTCCTCTGACTCCTCCTGCAAGGATCCCACCCCTCATGGTGAAGTGGTATCGACCGAGGGGGAAGAAGTTGACACGGGAGGGGAGGGGATCATAGGCCTTGTTCAGGGAAGTCTTTCTCCTGTTCAAGGCCCGTTTGGGAAGGATTACTTGGTTGAGTATGGGGAGATGGTATCAACGGGCTGCGAAGCCCTGACATTCTCCCAATATCAACCATTCTCAAACAACCAAGTCGTCGATGAGGATGGGCTTGTTGCTCCAGTGGGGAAATACAACCTTGAGGTGCAACATTCTCCCCTACCTTTTTTCGGCGAGCGTGGAAATATGCTTGATGGAATCGTACATTCTTCTGGCGAACAGACTCAGACGGCAAAAGGCGATGCTTCTTCTCCAACATCATTTTGTCCTCGTTGTCCATACGATGACATGACGCCAGAGTTGCAAGCGCTTTTCTCTTCATCCCGAAGGACGTCTTCTCCCTTGGATGCATTTGTGAGATCCGATGACGAAGAGAGTGAGAGAGTGAATTTTCCGGATGAGGAACGGATAGAGAAAGAAAATCAGCGGACCAGGGAGATCTCAACTTACGATCCTGAGTCTCCTCCTCTTTCTTCTTTTCAGTCTGCTTCTCCTCTTCCTTTGTCAGCTCCTGATGTCCATGAGGCGGTCTCCTTGTCGTTCGAGGAACATGTTTTCGAGTATGTGAGCAGGAACGCGGGTGACGCGGTGACCAACCTGAAGAAAAAGTCTGTGAGGCGCATCATCGAGGTCAAGAAGCTGTTTGAAAGGCTCGTTCAAGAGAAAGTCATTAAATGCTCCGGCATTGATGCAAGTATCTTCGGCTTTCAGGAGCTGCAAGTCTCTGATCTAGCGCGCTTCGTTGAGGCAGCGACTTTGATGGTGAAGAACAATGATGGCGGATGCTGGCGCGGCAACGGTGTGACAATCACGTACTGGGCTTGGCCTGTGTACGATCTTCTGCGAATGTGTGGCATCGCCCCTGCTCGTCATCATTGCAGAAAATCTGCGAAACCGTTCAAGGCTCGTTGTTTGAACTTCGAGTCATGGAACTTCGACATGTCCCGTTTGAAGAGCAACTGCCATCGACTCAACAAAGGATGAATGGATCGATATCCAGCAGTTTACAAGCATACTTTCTACAGGCTCTTTCATGAGTTTTGGTAATCTTCTGTGCCTGGATCGGCTTTGATCAGGAAAAAATACCAAAAAAATGATACATAAGCTTTGAGAAAATCCCCCAAACAAATGGTAAGTATGCGTCGGATGGTGTGCGTGTGCAATTCCGATAGCTAATAATTATAATAAATCAAAAAACAACCCAAAACCTCTAAGCTGAAGCTTTATGACTCCTCCCACGCGAGATTGCTTCCAAGAGTCTCAGCCAAACGCTTCATTAGTTTCATATACCGAGGATAAGTACATTCCTTCCTCGTTAGATGCTTACCCTTCTGCAGTTCATGCGCTGACAGGAACGAGTTATCAGGCAGAAGAACAACATTTGAGTTTTCATGTTCAAAGGAATGGTGGATCGAACTTCAATTCTTCATGTTAATTCAATTCTGATTGAGTGTTACGTTCAGCAACAACGCCTGCCGTCATTGACAGAACGATTGCTATTCTCATGCTATGTAAACGTCACTCAAGATTGTGAAAGAGACCGTTGAGAAAACAGAAGACGGCAGTTGCACTTCACCTTGTTCTCTCTGAACACATACTTTGTCAAACTTGTGTCTGCGTCAATATTCTTCATCAAAGCGCACTGGCGAAGGAGCTCACGCGTCGCCTTCATCGGCCTTTTCAATCTTGAAAATGGCATTCCTGGTCTCCACGCTTGCACATCCCCAAATGTTGTCATGTAATCGTCGAACTTTTCTTGGTCCAGCACTAGCATGGAGCTAAAGCCGAGGATGGAGCGCGCGCCGTTGGAGCAGAGCTTGACAACGCGATCCTGCTCCCACTCTCTGACTTTCTGATGCATGCAAGAGAGGCGATGAAGTTTCTCGTCGGTCAAGTCTTCAATTCTCTTCGACATGAGAGTAGTGCGATGAACCTGGAGAAACTCCATGATGTCTCGAAGGGCTCTCTGCTCCTCAGACGTCAGCGCCCGCTCTGCATCGTGTGTCGACCAAACTTTATTTGCTTTCTGCTCAAGACGTAAAATCTCTGCTGGCATTGCCAGGCTCGCAGTCGCCAAGTGCAACTTGTCTGCGGCATGAAGAGGACAACTTTGCTGGACAAGCGGTTTCGACTGTTGAAGCACATTGTTCAGATTATGGAGAAGGAAGAGCTGAGGGTCTTGGCGAACTTCTTCACGCTGTTGAGGTGGAGGAGAGGAGGAGGAGAAGGGACTCCATACCCTCTCCTCCTCGGACTGCCAAGCGGACTCCAAGTCCACCTCCATATCAGCTCGCTGGTTGCGATGCTGTGGCCCGAGCTCGCCTCAGCCGCGAGCTAGCCAGGAACTCTGTGTTTCTTTTTACTGCGGAGTGGGTTCAAAGTTAAGTTAAAAATCAGCCTGTACGAGGATAATCCGATCGGACTGAGTCAGCCTGACCGGGCCGCCCGGCCGCGGGGGCCTCAGCCTGCGTCGGACTCCGAGGCTCAGTCGGGAGACTTGACCCTGCAAACGCATCATGGCATGAAGACCTCATGCGTTTGCAACTTCATCACTGACCTGACTCAGCGGCACGTCATCGGAGGATGCCGCATCACGCGCCTGCTGCTTCAGTGCACGGCACGGTTTGCCGCCCGAGCCAGGTCCCGGCGGAATCTCGGCGTTTCAGTATGCTACTCAGTTTTTCTTCTCAGGCTCAAATCGGAGTTAAGTTAAATTAATACTTCGCTGTCTGACGGATCATCCGATGGCACGGGCCGGGCCGGATCATCGGATCGGACTCGCAGTCGGGATCGCCGCCGGGATCGGACAGACTCGCCAGGCCCCGCGGCCACGCCGGGCGGCGGGCCGTCACCGTCACGCGGCACCAGGCCCGAGGTCCGCCGGGCGCGGCGGCCGGCCGGGCTGCCTTGATCGGAGTAGCCTAAGTCGGATGCCGGGGCAACTAATGGCTTCACCGAGGCTACTTCAAGTTGCGGCTCAGTGACTTGCCACTCAGCTGAGGCTCGAAGTCCCCAAGTTCAGTGCCACGCCGCGGCCGGGTGAGACGCACCGTACCGCGGCGGCGGCGACGGTGATCGACCGTGCCACCGCGGTTCAACGGTTCAACGGTTGAACTTGCTTCGCGGCCAGTCATCAGTAGTGATTGGCAGCCATTCCTGTCCGAGAGAGCTACGGTAGGACGGCACTTAGACTCGGTGACTCGCGAAGATCGGAAGACTGAGATACTTTACAAGGCGGGCCATGCTCGGACCTAGTACCGGCGCGGTGACAGTGCCAAGTTGCGGCTGAGTCAACACCTGTGGCAACACACAAGACAGATGGAGGTCAGAGGAAGAGAGAGAGACGAACAATCGAACATGAATGAAAGTTGCAAAGGATCGAGCACATTCATCTTTCAGGCCTCATCACATTCCAAAGCTTTGAGCGAAATGCAACTTTAGTTCAGTTCTCACTGATGCTCTCAGCTGCTCAGTAACGACAGGCAGGATTCGACTCTAGCACGCAACCCTCCTCTGCTCCCTCATAAACTCTCTGGGATCCATCGATCCCTCCTGAGTTATAGACGGACACGTAGAAGGCTGCGAGGAGGAGGATGCCAACGAAACCAGCCTTGAAAGAGTTCTCGTTGGCAAACAGGTTCACCGAGTCCCACTGGATCAGCCGCATGTCAACTCATCACCAGCATACGATCAAGTCAAGTTTCACCTCCTGCTGCCGGATTGGATCCATGGGCCGTTGCGATCCCGTGCTCTTGTCGAAGAGGCTCCTGCCATTCAGCCAACCTTGAGCATCCTTCACACGTTCTTCTCTGGTGTAGATTGGTGTTGGCACGTCCTCGAATGAACCCTTCTTGACTCCCGAGTCGTAGCTCTTTGCGTTCTTCCATGCATCGTCCTCTGATCTCCTTCCCTCCTCCTCCCCCTCGGGCTCGCCGCCTGCTCTCAATCCCACTGTGCCGGTTCGCTGCAGTTTCCCGCGGGCGCTCAGACCAACAAAGAACGTCTGTCGCTGCATCGAGCAAGGAGAGGTCGAAGTCCATAACCCTGCATGATGATGAAACGCGTCGGCACAAGGAGCACATGCTCCGATCACCATCCCCACCATCCCAAGCGCCAGCGCTCCCTTTGCCATGCCGCACTTGTACGTGGTTTGCGCAACCGTTACAAGGCGTTATTTTCTCTCTCCTGGGCGCAGGCACTGAGTCACGGCTCCCTGCCACCCGCCGGTGATCGGACCACTGGCGGGTGACTGCCGTCGGCCGGGCCCGGTGGCACATGATCGGCACTGCGGCAGTGACTGTCCGATCACCGACCACACTGACGGCCCAGGCTGCCGTGATGACTGTCGGAGAGCACTGAGAGTCGGCCCGGAGAGTCGGAGGGGGTGGAAGCCTTCAGGGAACGAACGAGGTTTAGGCTTCATTGGTTCTAGTCTCACATGGCACACGCGCTCCTCCTTCACCACCTTCCGTTCTGCCTCCTCCCTCCTCCTCCTCCTCCTCCTCCGTATCCTCCACGCCTTCCTCCCGGCGCCCTGGCAAACGGTCATGACCTTCCCTCGAACTTAGCAGGACAAGCTCACCGTCCTCTGCCTCCTCCTCCTCCTCCTCCTCCTGGGCGCGAGCCCCATCGAGACTTCCCCGGACCACCCTGCTCACTTCGGTCAATACGACGAGACGATGCCAATCAGAGGCGTAGGATGAGAGGGAAGTGGAGGAGAGCGCTTGAGGGGATGAGCAGGTTCCTACCCTTGCGCGGCTTGCAATGGAAGACAACCAGTCAGGAACTTCTTGCTGGGCGCTTCTGCATATGATGTAAGAGAAACAAACAAGCATTCTCGCCCCATCCTTCTCCTCCTCCTTCCTCTCCCTCCCCATCCCCTCCTTCCTGCCTCCTTTCACTCACTTGAGCACAGAGCAGAGTTCACGTGCGCTCTTCCTGTCGGCTCTTTCATCAAAGAAGGTGTAGGCAGTCCCACTTGCTCCAGCCCTGGCACAATTTCAGCCTCCTCCTCCTCCTCCCCTTCCTCCTCCTGTACCTCCCAGTGCGCCCAACACGGTGAACCCAATCCTCGGCTCCGTTGCCGGGGAAGTCATAGTTGATAACGTGCGACACCCCCTGCAGCAGCGTGAGAGCAAGAAGAGAGAGGAAGAGGAGAGGGAGAAAACGCAGCTCAAGAAGGAACTTTTGAGCTGGAGCAGGAGGGGAAGGAGGGTACATGGGTGTGAGGAGGAAGAGTAGTAGGTGTTCACCTTCACGTCCAATCCTCGAGCAGCGACGTCGGTTGCGATCATGATTCGTGTCTAATCATGAAAGTAAGAGAAACCAGCCAAGGAGGAAGACAGAAAGAGGAGGAGGAGAAGAGAGGAGGAGGAGGAGGAGGAGGAGGAGGAGAGAGGAGGAGCCGAAGAAGAGAGGAGTAAGAGAAGGTGGTAGTGGAGGAGCACCTTGCCACTGGTGAAGTTAGCAAGCGACTGACTGCGCTGCCACTGATCCTTATCCCCATGAATTGCCTCCGAATTCCATCCAAACTGCGACAACAAGATCATCAGGTGAAGGAGGAAGCAAGAAAAAGCTTTCAGAGTGTAGAAAGAGGGAGAAGAAGAGGACTACAACGAGGACGAGGAGGTAGAGGAGAACGAGGACGAAAGACGCAGGAGCGAGTGGAAGGACTAGGACTAGGACTAGGATGAGGATGAGGACAAGAACGAGGAAAACCTTCTTCAAGCCGCGCATAATTCTCTCGCACATGCTCTTCTTGTTGGCAAAGATGATAATTCGCTTGTCCTCCATGTCTCCCTCTTCCTTGATCACGTTGAGAATCTCCACCAACTTGTCATCCTTGTCCTCGGCCGCGGTGTTGTACACGATCTGACAGTACTGTCAACAACGAAAGAAGCAAGCGAGCAAGAGGGACAGAGAGGAAGCAGAGGAAGAGGAAGAGGAAGAGGAAGAGGAAGAGGAAGAGGAAGAGGAAGAGGAAGAGGAAGAGGAAGAGGAAGAGGAGGTTGTGAACGGGATCGAAGGTGCAAGCAAGGTTTTGCACCTGCTTGACATCTTTGTTGGCAGTGAGCTGGTCCCCTGAGGTTCCGATTGTGATCTGAATCGGATTCTTGAGATAAGATGTGGCGAGTTGCTGGAGAATCAGTCAAACACAACGAAATGACATGAAGAGAAAGACATACAAAGAGCGAACCAAAAACCAAATGCAAAGACAAGGAAGAACATGAGATCACAGAAACATTATCATCATCGTCATCATCATCGCCATCGTCATTTCACTTGCCTGGACGGCTTTCGGCCAAGTAGCGGTGAACATGAGGCACTGATAGACACACTCCTTGGGGATTGCACCGAGCACTTCCTTGATCTGAAGCAAGCATGTGAGCAAGACAAACAAAGTAAATTCCGCTTTCTCTTCCGGCTCCGCCCTCTCACCCACCACCTCTCTTCCCTCCTCGTACTCGTACTCTCTCTTCCTCTTCCTCTTCGTCCTTATGCCTTTCTCCTCTCTTCCTCTCACCTGCGGTTCAAACCCCATGTCGAGCATGCGATCTGCCTCGTCGAAAACAAGATATTTCAGTCTGTTCAACGGAGCAACGGGAGGATTGTTCATCTTGAGGAAGTCATTCAAGCGCCCTGAAACATCACGGTCATCATCAGTACCATCATCTCCATCGCTATCCTCCTCCTCATCATCATCATCATCATCATCGTCGTCGTCATCACATCATCATCATCATCATCATCGTCTCTACCTGGAGTGGCGATCAGCACGTGAAGACCTGCCATGATCGAGCGGATCTGCGGACCCTTGGGCATCCCACCATACGCGCATGCGGCGACGATCTTGGAGGTCTTGGCGAACTTCACGCACTCCTGCTCAATCTGGATCGCAAGTTCTCTCGTCGGCGCCAGCACGAGAGCGACAGGGCCATCACCTCGGCGGCACTGAGACGAGGTCAGCAGGCAGCGAGAGGAAGAGGAGCAGGTACCTGGAGCGAGACAGAGCGCTTGATGAGCTGGAAGGCAGGGAACAAAAACCCGCAGGTCTTTCCGCTCCCCGTCTTGGCAATGGCGATCAGATCCTTTCCTGCCATCGCCAGCGGCCAGCACTGACTCTGAATCGCGCTGGGGGCCTTGAAGCCCTGCTGCCTGACTGCCTCAAGGAGCTCTGGAGGGAGAGACGCGTCCTCGAAGGTCTGGAAGGGAGCCGGGCAGTCGCTTCCTGCGACTTTGATCTCGAGCTTCCTCCTGAACTCTTCGACGCTGAGACGCGTTGGCTGGTCTGCCTCGTCTGACTTGAGCTTCTTGGACGCAGGGGCATCGCTGTCGCTCGACTCCGACGAGTCAGAAGAGACCTTCTTCCTCTTTTCCTTCCTCTTCGCTTCCGCGTCCTTCTCCTTCTTCTCCTTCCGTGACTCCTTCGCGCGAGATTCCTCGACTTTCTCGTCCTCAGAATCAGAGGCGAAGGTCTTCACTTTCGAAGACTTGGACTTCTTGTGGAGAACATCCGCATCGAAGCGTGGGGCAATGCTGGGCATCTACAAGAAGGTCAGGTACGGTCTCACTTGATGCGATCTGATATCCATATAGTCTAGACGTCTGGTTGCTTCTTGTCTCTATCCTTGTCCTCGTCCTCGTCCTCGTCCTCGTCCTCGACTTACACTTCAGCCAACAGGACAAAGTGCCCCCTGCCTTGCTCGTATCTTCCTCTTCCTCTTCATCTTATCCAATCCAAAGCAAGATTCACCCTCCTCCTCTCTCTGCCCCTTGTCCTCGCTCCCCCTCCCCCTCCTCGCTCCTCCTCTCCCTCCTCGTCCTGCACACTGTCCTCCTCGTCATCGGCATTTTCCACGCACGTGCCGGTGGAACCCTGCTAGTATCCGAGCCCTCATCCCCCTACACTCCTTGTATGTCATCAAAATCGACCCCTGCAATCGACCCCTCATACAGCCCTCGATCCACCTCGTTCCTCATCGCCCTCATACCCATTCTGTAGTGTCGGGGCGACGCAGGGGGCGACGGTCGGGCGAACATGACGATGCGGTGGAATACGGGAGGAGGAGGAGGAGGAGGAGGAGGAGGAGGAGGAGGAGGAGGAGGAGGAGGAGGAGGAGGAGGAGGAGGAGGAGGGGAAGGTATGAAGGAGAGCATAGCTCGAGCTCTTGCTGAAAAGAAGGAGGGGAATGAACATTTCAAGGAGGGCAAGGTTGAGGCAGCTCTCAAGTGCTACCAACGCGCGCTGAATGCTGTGAGCTGCGATCTGTCAAAGGCAGGAAGCGAGATGAGGCTTTCCTGTCACCTGAACGCGGCTCTGTGCCTTCTCAAACTTGAAAAACCTAAGGGAGCTCTGCAGGAGTGCAACCTTGCCCTGAGGATCGACGGGAGGGCAACAAAGGCGCTCTTTAGGAGGTCAAAAGCGTATGTTGGGTTGGGAGAGTACAACAAGGCAAAGGAGGATGTGGATCGCCTGCTGGAGCTTGAGCCGCAAGACGAGGAAGGAAAGGAGCTTTCTTCCTTCATCTCCAACGTGCTCAAAGGATACATGAACTTCAATGACACCATTCAGCTGCTGTCGCACGGCGACCTGGTCATGGCCTCGCAGAACCTTGAGAACATCTCCAGCACCGCCAGTAGGATCGGTGCGTTCAAGGTGGCAGCGCATGCTGAGAGCTACCGCGGTATCGCCATGCAGATGCAGAACAAGCTCGAGGAGGCAGCGACTTGCCATCGACGACATGCGAAACTCGCGGAAGGCCTGGGGGACAAGAGCGAGAAGATGAGGGCCCTGAGCAACCTGGGAAGGTACTGACCCCCCCTCCTCGCTCATGATGACCCCTCATCCTCCCTCATGCTGACCCCTCCTCCTCCCTCGTGCTTCTGGTGATGTGCTTCTGTGCTAGTGTCTACCAGATGCTGGGCAAGAGTAAAGAGGCGGTCGAGTGTTACGAGCAGCAGGTGGAGGCTGTTGACGAAGAAACAAGCAAGATGGACGTCTGCTCGCTGCATGGGAACCTCGGGATCTCCTACAGGCGAGCTGCTCTAGAGCCTCTCGTGCCCTCTCCTCCTCTCCTCCTCTCCTCCTCTCCTCCTCTCCTCCTCTCCTCCTCTCCTCCTCTCCTCCTCTCCTCCTCTCCTCCTCTCCTCCTCTCCTCCCTATGCATGAAGTGATGGAAGACCGGGAAGGAAAGTGGAGGGAAGAGAGAAGAGCAAAATGGAGGGAGCGGTCGGTGGAACCAGGGGAGGGGGAGAAAGGGGAGGGAGTAAGAGGGATAGAAAGAGCAGGGGGAAGGGAGGGAGAGAGGTCACTGACGAGATGGTTGCAGAGCTTTAGGGGAGTATGAGAAATCGCTTGAAAGCTTGACCATCTCATTGCAGATTGCAATCGCATTAGGTCAGGGAGGGAGGGAGGGAGGGAGGGAGGCGAAGTAGAATTTATCTAAGTGAGCAGGGGAAAAAGAATCAGAAGCGAAAGGCTACAGTCACGTTGCCTCTACTCACTTCGAGTCCGGGGATCTACATCATGCTCTCATTGCGTTCAGGAAAAGTTTTGAGCTCTTCAAGGTTCCTCTTTTTTTCCTTCCCCCTTCCCTCCCTCTCTGTTGCCCCCTCCCTCCTCCTTATTCTTCGTCCATGTTCTCCATCCTTTTCTCCTCTCTCCCTGCCTCCTCTTCTGTTCTGCTTCCTCCTTTCCTCCCTCCCTCGTCCTCCCTCCCTCTCCTTCCTCTTCCTCCTCCTCACTTTGCCTCGCACGCAGGAGCTGGGGGACTTGGTAGCATGCGCACAAGAGAAGGAAAGAATCGCAAACGTTCTGCACCGTCAGGGAGAGATGGAGAAAGCAATCGCAGAGTTCGGCGAAGTAATGCTCTCCTTGTACTCCTCTCCTCTTACTCCTCCCCTCCTACTCGTCTCCTCTTTACTTCTCTCCTTTTACTCCTCTCCCTCTCCCTTCCCTTCTCCTTTCCCCACTCCCTGTCCCGGTTACATCTCTCTCCCTCCCTCCCTCTTTCCTCTCCCTTTTCGTCTTATTTTTGTTCTTTCAGGCTCGTGAAATCCTGAGAGGTTGTAAGTGCGAGGATGTGCAGCAGGAGATCGATCGACTTGATGGAATGATTGGGATGTAAGTCCTTCTTTCCTGTCATCGTCCCCCTCCCCTCCCCCTCTACTCTCTGCCTCCCCCTCTCTCTCCTCCTCTCCTCTCTCCTCCTCTCCTATCTCCTCCTCCTCTCTTCTTCCTGCTCTTCCTCTTGGTTTCTTCCTTGCTCTTGTCCTCTACCATATACCTTGTGATCAAATCTTCTGTCTCTCCCTTCTTTCTTTCTTCACTCCCTCCTTCTGCTCCCTGATAATTTGCTCCGACAGCTGCCAGGCAGCCTTGGGGCAGACGGAGGAGGCGCTGCCGGTCCTGACCAAGATGGCGGAGAGGCGGGAGGAGGAGGGAGGGGAGGAGCACGCCTCTGAGCGGGTGCTGGGCATCGCCCTACAGTCCATGGAGGCGACCCAGAGCGCGTTGCGATGTCACTCACGTCAGCTGCAAGAGTGCGTGAGGACGGAGGACGTCAGGGGGCAGGCGGAAGCGCATGCAGACATTGGCCTCCTCCTCTCCTCCATGGGGCACTCCCTCCCTGCCGCAAGGTGCTTCCTGCAGGCCCTGGAGTGCGCGAGGAAGAGCAGGGACATCGTGCAGGAGTGCGGGGCACTGACGGGGCTGGGGATGGCGCTGCTGGAGGAGGGAGAACGAGAGGGGGGGAGGAAGACGATGGAACATGCGCTGTCGCTGCTGGAAGATGCGTTCTCTGACATGTCCATGTGCTCCGACGCTCGCGACCAGCTCCTCGAGCATGCGGCGCGTGCGCTGAAGGCCCTGCAGCTGTTCCACATCCGATACAGAGGGGGGAGGCGGGGGAAGAAAACCCAAGGGAAGGAGAAGGGGATTGAAATCAGAGATTCCAAGAGCGAGGAGGAGGCGAAAGAGGTGAAGGAAGTGGATGAGATAAAGGAGCACGAGGAGGAGGAGGAGAAGCAGGAAGAGGAGGAGGGATTGTCAGCAACAGAGAGGATGGAGAGTCTTCTAGTAACCGTGCAGCTACAAGCGTACGAGCAGCTGGTGGCGATGGTGGAAGGGGGGGTGATGGAGTGGAAGGAGCTGGAGGACGAGCTGGAGTTTGAGAACTTCAGCCAAGAGGATGTCAAGTTTCTTTCGAGCTGCACGGGAAAGACCATCGTTGTCATGTCCTGCCTTGACGACGAGGGGACGATCGGGACTTGGGTGATCTCTCCATGCGAGGAGGAGGTTGTCTTCTGTAGGAACGACGGGAAGAGAAGTTTGGAGGGTCACAAGTACACATGGACCACCTTGTTGGATGACGTTGTGAACAACCTCCCCCATGCGCTGATGTCGGCCGAGGAGAAGGATGAGAGATTCTCGACATCAGGGCAAGGAAGGTTGTTTCGATGTTTGTATGACTTGTGTTGGAGACAAGTTGCTGATCAGGTACAAGACATGCCATCTCAACTCTTCAAATCTCCCTCATTGCTTCTCCTTTCAGATAGACAAAAACACGCAAGAAGTTGTTATCTCCCCTGTTGGAGTTTTGACCCTCTTCCCATGGAATCTCATGTGCGATGAGAATGGTTGCCCACTGCTCCAGAGGTTGCAAGTCGTCAAGTTCCTTACTTCTTTCCCTCCTCTCCTACTCTCCATCCCCTTTGCTCCTCCCCATCTGCTCCACGTTGACTCTCCTTTCTCCCCGTCTCTCCCATTTCTTCTTTCCTCTCCCAAATGTTCTTCCTCCTCCTGCTCTCTTTCACCAGCACCTTGCTAACACCCTCAGCGCAGGCACGTGCTGACCCTGGAGCCTTGCTTGAAGGCCCTCAGCTTCCTCCTCCATAACCATCGCAGTGATGAGAATTCAGCCTCCTCCTCCTACCTCTCCGTCCCTGTGCCCCTGGGAAAGAGCAAGGAAGTCTCCTCCGACCCCTCGGCCCTCGTTGTCGTCAACCCCTCCAACAGACTGTCTGCTCAGCAACGGCTGGAGGACTCCTCCGACAGTGACGACGAGGAGCAGGAGGAGCGGGAGGATGCGTCTGGTGTGCTGGCTCGTTTAGCTTGTCTACCGCCTAACTTGAGAATCATACAGGAGGAAGAAGGGAAAGGGCCCAAGCATCCAACAATCCTTCGCCTCTCCCTCCACCTTCCCCTCCCTCGCAGGTTGCAGGACATCTTGCGCGGTGTGGGTTCGCTGTGGAAGAGCTCTCGGAGGAGATGGCGAGCGTGGGTAAGAGGAAGAGAGGAGAGGAGAGGAGAGGAGAGGAGAGGAGAGGAGAGGAGAGGAGAGGAGAGGAGAGGAGAGGAGAGGAGAGGCGCGAGCTCATGTCGGGTGCTAGAGTACGTCGGCAAGGCTGCTGCCATGACTCGCTGGATCCACGTCTCAGCAGCGGTCGAGCTGGGGGGGAAAGGAGGGAGGGTGCGAGTCTTTCTGTCCGAGGGCTGCCTGTCCTCGGGGGAGAAGGACTGGGGCCAAGTCGATCCTCCCCGCCTCGTTCAAGACTTTCGAGGTGCGAGAGAGGAGAGAGCTCTGCTGTCGCCCAGCTGACTGCTGGTTCAAGATCGGCTCTTCGGCTCGTCTCTCGTCCTTGCCGGTTACGGTCACCCCGACCTGATGGAGGAGGAGCGGAGGAGTGGGACGAGGCAGCTGGAGCTGGAGCTGGAAAGGAGGCTCAAGGCAAGGGACCAGGACAGGAGGGAGGGAGGTGACGGTGCTGCTCAGGCATGGTTGGCCATGGTCGGCTGCTTTCGGATTAAGCTCGGAGTGCGGCGGCTCATCTTTCCTGTCCTCCTCTCTCAGGAGGCCCAGGTGCTCCGTCTCATGGACTGCATGTACAGGTAACGAGCTGTCGTTGTTTCCCGCCCTCTGACGTCTGCCCAGCAATCTGGCGCAAGGACAAGAGCTCTCAGCTGCAGCCCTGACAGGGGCCATGAAGCAAGTCGGCCAGGAGGGCAAGAGTTGGAGAGAAGTTTGCGGGGGGTTCATGTACCTGGGGAGCGAGTGATCTGCAGGTAGGGTTAAGCTCAATTCATTCTTATATAACAGCTTCTTTCTGCCAGGTCGTCTGCCTATCTTCTCCTCCTTGCCCTGTGCATGTTTGTTGTATCCTTGACAATCTCAACCAGACTTGAAGAGGAGGATGGCGACTTGGCCCAAGTAGAAGTAGATAAAGTGCTTTGTCTCGTGCGTCACATACGATCCGAAGTTCCTACCTACAATGCAATGCCACGTGGGGTTGTATTTCTTATCGAACTCCTTCTTGATGTAGGCAGCGATATCCTTCTCGATGTTGTATTTCTCCATTGCCTGTGCAGCGCAATCGATCGCATCTTGCTGCATGTCCTCTGTGCCAAGATGTCAGAACATGGAGGGTCAGTGATCCTGTTGCGGATACATCCTAGATCGATAACCATCACAGGCTTTTGAAAACCAGTGCTCAAGTAATTTCATGACAAAAGGAAACCAGATGACCAGATAGTCATGAAATGTAACAGCATGTATCAAATCGATAGATGTGTGGCCATGATAGCTTGCAGCGAGAGGAGGGAGGGAGGTGACTTGGCCTAAACCCTAAACCCTTTGACATTTCGAACACATGCAACAACATAAACAAATAGAAACATGTCACAGTCTCAAATCATCGGCATTGTCAATCTCAACATACTCATGCTGTAAAATGGTGTACCCTACTATATCTCTGCATGAATATCACTTTGTTCGCACTATAGAACATATTTGAACACTTGTCTGGTTCATAAACAATTTGCACACGTGGCGAGAATTGTCTTCAATCCACCCTCGTTTCTCAACAACCTCCATAAGGACACATGTGACATCAGATTTGAAATCTAATCATCTCACATGTCTCGTCCATCCGGATAAGAGCGTGCAGACCAAAATCAAACCGACACATCACGCAATCGCGACATCGGCAACACAACGTACTGTCAACCGAAATGCTGTCCCCCCACTTCCTTCCTCCTGTTTGATAACCAAGGACGTACGTAGGAGGATGAAGATCATAAATACATCACACCATAGTTAAACTTGACTTCAAAGCTCTGATGCCCTATCCCTTTCCCATTCTGCCCTTTGAAATTCCCCGAGACATCACGATTCCACTTTCACGTCTCTCTGTGAATTGTGGAGAACACAGACCGAAATGCAGAATCATCTTTCCTAGCACATGTATGATGTATTTTTCATCCTCTCCATCCTGTGTGTTATTCTCTTGATTCTCACCTGACATGTCCGCATTCTTCACAACAGCCTTTCGGTCCGACATTCTTGCCGCGCGCCTTTACTCAGTACCCTACCCCCTCATTTAAATAATCCGCCCACCCTGTTGTTCTCGAAAGGACCCACGACCATACCACCCCACATCGTCAACTACCCCCACCCACAGAACTGATACCGGTATGTTGTCATTTGGACCCGAACACGGGAAACATCCTACCCCAGCTTTATTCTTCAAACTACCCCTCTCTACATGAAAATCCATGGACACAACCCCTTGTATAAGCGGTGAAGTACCCCTCCTTGGTCGTATCCATTATTCCCACTACCCGTGAGGTTGCCCCCAGAACCCTCAGACTCTATTTCGAGTACCCACCCTACTGACTATCAAGTAGCACCCCGCAATTTGTACCCTACCCCCATGTTGTCCCATACCCTTCTTCGAGAGGGGCCTTTGAACGATGACCCACCCATTGACTAGATTAGCAGGTTGTCGGAAACCCACCCCACCTCCTTAATTTCCTACTACAGGACAATCACCCCTGAAACCCCATGTCTCTCGATATCAAAATCGAACCAGATACCAACCCCGTTGAACTGCTGGTGTGGAGTACCCCACCATCGATCATCACCACCCCCTCTATTGTACTACCCCACCCCCATTCCAATGATCCAACGCCTTCTCCCGCCTTCTCTCGCGCCAACCGAAGACCGTTTGCTGGTCATACCGTTGCAATCCGTTACAACTTTCAAGCTGTCACTGAGATGTCCGGGCCCGGCATCACAACCCGGGCCCGTCTCACAACCGAGTCCACCTCGGCGTGCTCCAGAGTCATTTTACGGCTCCGGCAGTTACGAGTTAACTGTCGCAACTGCACAACGGTCCGTTGCACCACGGCCGCCGGGTATGCAGGCAAGGGGGGCCGCGGGAATGCAGCGGCTGTGAGGGAGGTGGGAGGAGGCTCGGGTACAGAAGGAGGAGCGACGATGAGGAAGCTCCTCTTCACTCTTCTCTTCCTTCTCTTCTTCGTTGCTCCCTCTCCTTTCTGTTGTGCCCTTGGTGGCACAGCTATCCAGAGGACCCCTGCTGCACAGCCCTTGTCCTCAAGTACAGGTCACCCGGAGCGTCTGACAAGTTCATCTGCCTCCTCTCATGTACTGACCGACAGAGGAGAAGGTTCATCTCCCTTGAATACTTGCGCTCTCCGTTCCTTGCGCTGCCTTAATGACCCACTCCCAGCTCGGGAGGGGGAGGGGGAAGGGGATCCTGTAGTGCCGAGGTGTCATGGGACGGGAGTGCAGCGACTTCGAGGAGGAAGAGGGTTAGGGGATCTAGCAAAGACGCCTATTTTGAGTACGATCCAGAAGCTGAACGTGTTTGGGAAGCATCACGATGACTGCTGGGACTGCGACGGGGAAGGGTGCCTAATGTTCGAAGAGAACATGTATGAAGAGCGAGTGATGAAGACTTTGGAGTTCATGGAGGCGCATGACGACCGTTCGTCCACGGAGCTCGTGCAGAAGCTGAAGAATGAGGTCTCTCCTGTCTCCAAGGGCCTCCGCATCTTCACCGATTGCTTCCGGCCCGGCGACGCCTCTTCGAAGCACGAAGGATGGGTACACGTTCTGCTCAAGGCAGCGGAGAGAGGGTACGACAGCACAGTGAGGGAGCTGATCAACCTCGGGCTCAGCGTCAACAGCCAAGGACGGCACGGACAGACCCCCCTGCATGTCGCCGCCGCCTTCGGCAGACTCACCGTCCTCAACTCTCTCTGTGACCTCGGCGCCGATGTGAACGCGGTGGACATGCTCGGCTGGACTCCTCTCCATCAGGCGTCCTTCTTCGGGCAGGCAACTGCATGCTTCCTCCTCGTCGAGCGATGGGACGCGCAGGTGGACAAGGTGAACGCGCAGGATCAGACGGCAGCCGACCTGGCGGACTTGACCTTCTACAAGCCCATGGACTTCAACAACCAGCAGGGATACGATGAGGTGAACGCTGCGTCTACTTGCTCTGTATTTGTTCTCGTGCTCCTGCTCCTTTTTCCTTCCTCCCTCCCTCCGCTTCTCTTTCTCGTCCTCCTCGTGCTGTCAGTTCTTATCTGCACCTAAACCCTCAACCCCCCCCTCCCCTCTCTGTCCCTTCTGCTGACCTCGCTCTTCAGTTCGATCGCAACTACTCCGAGGTCAGCGAGGACCAGAACGCGCAGCAGGTGGAGACGTTCGACATCGCAGGCTACCTGCGAGGCTTCCTCCCCATCGACATGCAGGAGAGAAGCAAGTTCGATGCGCAGAGAAACGCGTCCCTGCCGCGGCTGCTCAAGAAGATGTCGAAGTTTGCCAAGAAGGCGAAGAAACTAGCGGAGGAGGAGAGGAAACGGAAGCAGGAAGGAGAGAAGGCAGGCGGCGCAGGGGCGGGCATGGACTTCTTCAGCAGGAGGGGAGACTCTGCGTCTGGGTCGCCGATGCCGTTCTCACTGCAGGAGATGACAGAGAGGAGCAAGCTAGCCTGGGACAGCAGAGCAGAGCTGACGAAGGAGGAGGAGGAGAGGCAGCGATCGGTATCCATGGACATGTTCGGCAAGTCGGAGGTCTCTTTCCCAATAGACTCCGAGGAGATGTCTGCGTTGAGAAGGACGTTGGGGTACGACAGGCTAAAGGACAGTGTCAACGACGAGCTAGGCTCCACCACCATGTATGACGACCTGCAAGACCGTAGCTGGGACCTGGATCAGCTGGAAAGGCAGAGACTGGGAGGGGAGGAGGGGAGAGGGGGGGACGAAGAGCTCGTCAGTCACGACTGGAACAACCCAGCTAGCAACCTTGACAGCAACCTGACGATGGACCAGCCGCCCTACCTGCCCCAGCAGAACCCCAGCAGGGAAGTCTCGCCCCAGAAGCAAGTTGAGAAGCAGGAGGCAGACTCCGAGCGCCAGGAAGACAAAGACGCGTCCCAGCAGGACGTCAGCAACAAGTCAGGAACCTCCTCCCCCCGCGCCTCCTCTCCTGCCAAGGGGGAGATAAGCGAGAGGAGGACGGAGGACTCGGAGACAGGAACAAAGATGTGCGGGGTTGGGATCACCCTCAACATGAACTCACAAGGCTTGTACTACGTGAAATCCCTCGCAGCAGGAGGAAGCGCTGAGAAAGATGGCTCGGTCTCAGCTGGGGACATCCTGACTGAGGTGCTTTCCCCTTCACATTTCTGCACTCACTCGTCATCTTGGCCCCTCTGACCCCACATATTCGTCTGGCCCTCCTCCTCCTCCTCCTCTCCTCTCCCCTCCCCTCCCCTCCCATCCCACCCCCTCTCTCCCCTCCTCTCCGACTTTCTTTCTCTCACCTTCCTCTTTGTTCGCTCTCCTTGGCATCTCATGATGTGCATTAGGTGGACAACAAGCAGCTCAGTGGCGCCACCTATGCCGATCTCGTGGCCATGATCCTCGGACCTCCCGGGAGCTCCGTCCGCTTCTCTCTTAGGAGGTGATGAATCTCCCACCTTTCTCCTGTCAGCTCCTCCCTCCCTCCTCCTTCTTCTTTCCTTCCTTCCTTCCTTCCTTTCTTCCTCCTCCTCTTCCTCCTCCTCCTCCTCCTCCTCCTCCTCCCTCTTCCCGTCTAACTGTAGCCTGCTTCCTCGCTTCTCACGACAAGGACGGCAGGGGGTCGCACGCTTTCCAAGTTGAGCTCATTCGCATGCCGCTGGGGGAAAGAGAGTCCAAGGCAGTCTACGACGGCATCACGCGCGAGCAGGCAAACCTAAGAAAGATGCTGCTTGCTCAGCAGCGACTCCAGGTACCCTTCTCCTCTCCCCTCCTCTCCTCTCCTCTCCCCTCCTCCTCCATCAGCACCTCCTCCTTCCCTTCCCCTCCACCACCACCACCTCCTCCTCCCTCCCTCCTTACTTCCTCCTCCTCCTCCTCCCCTCCTCCTCCTCTCCTTCAGACTCCCCACAGCCCCACGAGTCTACTCACGAGATCCCACAGGTAGAGAAGCAGGCGATGGCCGACGAAATTGCGCAGCTCAGGAAGCGTGTGGAGAGGTAGCTGCTGCTCCTGCTCCCTCACTTGTCGCCCCTTGCTTTCTTCCTCCTTTCCCTCACACCCTTCTCCTTACATGCCGCCTCCCTCTTCCCCTTACCTCCTCCCCTTCTCCTCATCCTCCTGACTCGCCCCGTGGCAGCGCGGAGAACGAGGCTCGAGTGTGGAAGGCGATCTCGCAGCAGAACTCGCGGGCTAACAGTCAGTTTGTGAGCTCAGCTAGTCAGGAGGGAGACGACGAGCTCGGGATCCGCCAGGTGCACGACCTTGACGCGAAGCTAGCAGAGAAGAGCCTGGAGGGAGATGACTAGGAGGGAGGGAAGGAGGGGAAGGGGATGAGGAGGAAGATTGTGAGTGGTGATAAAGGAAACGACATTCCTTGTAAAGAATAAACCGTAATCTCATAGCTTCTTGTGCGCCTGTACAAACTCCTGGACACCCGGCAGTTGTTCGATATGTTTCATCAATCGCATACTGGTCGTGAACGCGTCCTGCTCTTGTCATCCATACAGCTCCATCTTCATCTTCGCCATGAGCCTGCAGATGTTTCTTCTCTCTCCCCCCCCCCACCCCCCCGCTGCTTCTCTTCCTCCGCGCTCGGGCACCAGGCGCTAGTCCCACATGGAGTAGCTCAGCGTCGCCATGGATACAGCGCCGGGTATCACAACTAGTCCAAAATAATTCACTTTTATATCAAATTATTTTCGAAATATGATCACAACATTTCAAAAATAAAAAGGGTTTGTCATGAGCCCTCGAAGTCAGGAGGCGGTTTCTTGCCGCTTGTTTCCACGGACAAGGCTGGCCCGACAATGGGGCTCAGCGGCTTGTAGCAGGGTGAGGACGAACAGGAGGAGAGAGGAGGAGGAGGAGGAGAGAGGAGGTGAACTGAGACGGACTCAGATAGTTTGACGTGCCGCTACTGTCATAGAAGCTACAGGTAACAAGTCATCAAACCAGTCTGTTAGCCGCCTTGATCCAGGTTCGAACTGAACTCGCTGTTTTCAAACCTGCACAACAAGTAGAGGGAAAGCATCCTCTCATAACCAGCTGCACTCAATGTCGGAGATCGCACAAGCAGCAGCGAGCGACGCCAAGGACAGCCATGAGATGCCGATGGACCTGGTGCGAACATCCGAAGCTTCTGATTATGCGCCATGCTGACGGCTCTTCCGCAGGGAGGAGGCAAGGAGGAAGCAGACTTCAAGAGCGATCTGAAGCAGGCATGGCCGCATGATAGAGATGAAGAGAAGAACGGAACGAGAAGAACTTTCTGGGAGAAGCTTTCATTGCACTCTCCTTTTGGGAACAAGAAGATTGACCCAGCCGTGCGAGACTCGAGAGAGATCGTAGTGACCACCAGCAAGCAAGGAGATGACCTCCACGAGGAAACCTCTCACGCAAACAGTGGCCGACTGGTTGCCTTCCTCCGTTACATACGCGCCATGTTCGCAGGCAAACCAACCCTCCCTCCCTCCCTCCCTCTCCCTCCCTCTCCCTCCCTCTCCCTCCCTCCCTCCCTCTCTCTCCCTCCCTCTCTCTTTCCAACATCTTGTGCAGTACCGCCTCTCATCGACTGCTTCTGTCTCAGGTGACCAGGCCATCCTGTGGAATCATCCGCAGACGTCGGCGAGCAAGGATGATCGCCCGAGCATGAGGTCCCTCCAGGCGCGAGTGCATAGGATGCAGCTGATGGTGATGGTCATCGCGATGCTGGGGCTGCTGATGGGGATCTCCATCAACGAGTACTGCTGGTTGGGATACATCCCCACCCCTGCCGAGGAGAAGGGCTCTTGCTCCGATGCTTCCTTCCTCAACCAAGGCAACTGCACCAGCGCCGGCTACCTGTGGAGCGCGGGTATCCCCAACCCTGTGACGGGGCCAGGAGGGCAGCGATGTAGAGGGCAAGACAGCGGGGGGGCGGCGTTGAAGGCGTTCTGTACTATCTTCACCTGCCTGCTCGTCATGGCCATCTTCAGGATGTACGAGACGATCGCAACGGAGATTTGTTTCCGCAATCACTTGGAGTATCATCGAGAGTTCGCTGACATTCCGTTCTGGAACCTCGGGTTGTTCTACGAGTTCTTCCTCGAAGTGATTTTCTGTATTGTACACCCAGCGCCAGGCATCGGCTTCAACATCACCATTCAAGCGAGAGGGAGAGATAGCGTGTATAACATTGAATCTGTTCTTGTTGCTGTGATGTTCCTTCGAATGTACACGGTATGGAGATACTTCAGAACATGGATGTTCCTGCGCTACTCAGCCAAAAACTTCGCAAGCCGAATGACGGAGGTTGTGATGGATTCCAAGCTTGCGGTCAAGGCCATTCTATCGGACGTGCCCTTCGAGACTCTTGCCGGCTGCTTTGTGGTCTTGCTCTTCACGTTGGCCTATCTCCTCCGCATCGCCGAGGCTCCTGTAAAGAACCTTTACTGACTTGCGTGGCTTCCCCCGTTTGATGCTCACGTCAGGTCAACCTGGAACAAGTGTACTACTGGAATCAACTCTGGCTGATCTTGGAGGCGATGATGTCTACAGGATACGGCGACTTGTATCCTATCACGCACTTCGGAAGAGGAGTGTGCGTGTTTGCGATGCTGGGAGGGATAACCTTCACCGCTATCCTCATCACAGCAGTTGCCAGGAAGCTTGAGCTGAACACATCTGAATATCGTCTCATGACCTTCCTGGAGAGGTTTGAGGATCCTGTGAATGAGAGGAAAGTTGGAGTGATGGGTTGTTGGTCAGTGAGCAACACGAGAAGAGGGTCAAGCTTGCTGCTGCCATTAGCATTCAGTCCTGGTGGAGAAGAGCCATTCATCATCCACGAACATTACAGGTTTTCACATGCACGGTATCTCAAACAGGAGCGTGACATTGATATTGTGTTGCTCAGGCTCTACGACAGTTCAAGAACAGAAAGAAAGCATACAGGAAATTCTTGGAGTCAACTCCTCACTTCGGGGTTGAGTTGACTTTGCAGCTCAGCTTGTCCCTCACTGAGAAACTTTCTTGCAGGCGTTCGTTGAGAACATGAAGGAAGGAACAGAGCAAGTCAACAAGACGCTGCAAAAGATCGAAAAAGCTGTCAGCATCCCCAACCTCAATCTTGGCAGGGTCGGGGGCGCACCGAGTGAAGCCGCAAAGGGAAACGCTGGTGGAAACGTGGGAGCAAATCCCATGTCGAACAAAGCGTTCGAAGAGCTGCTGCATGAGATCGTGCAGGTCTGTGAGAGAGAGCCGAGTCGACGGAGATTGACCAGCTTGCTGCAGTTGAGACAAGCCAACAAGCAGATCCTGGAAAAAGGTGTGTAGAGATGTGCAAGAGAGGAGGAGTGACGTCAAGGCAGTGGAGAAGGGGGACATCCACATAGCAGGCGCCATGCCCTCTCATCAGTCTCAAGTAGCGAGTGAGTGGCACCTGTTAGGAGTATGGCGATGTCTCTCGCGCTAACTCCTCTCAGGTGCAGTCGTCAATTCCTTGCGCGCTCCTCCCTCTATCGCAAGCACTGCCAGGAGCCATCACAACGACCCTGTCGTGATCGCCAGCCAGGTCCTCCTCCCTCCCCTCCTCCCTCCCTTCTCCTTCTCCTCCTCCTTCCCCCCCTCCATCTTGTGTAACGTTGAGATGCTCTGTGCTAAGCGATTCATCAGGCTGTGGAGGAAAGGATGCGACGGCTGGAGAACCAGGTGACGATTGAGGCAGCGAGTGACAGTCCTCACTCGCCTTAGGTTACCAACTTTGACAAGGGGATGGCTCTTTGCCTCGGGCAGATCGTCAGGCTGCTGCAAGGGTTGTACTGATCAGAGTTGTCGGCTTGCTTGTAAAGAGAGGAATGGAATATCATTGCACAGCCAGCACTCGAATTCACATTTACTACGCATCCATATTGCGAAACACGCCTGTCTCACTTCAGATGAGAGATTTCTCTTTCAACTTGGCCATGAGCTCTTGGACGCTGCCAACAACTCCACCTGCTTGCCTTGTCGGCGGCTCTACAACTTTCACAGTTTGCAACTTGGATGAAACATCGACTCCGAGCTCCGCTGGATCAGTAGCATCGATCTTCTTCTTCTTCGCCTTCATGATGTTTGGCAAGGTGGCATATCTGGGCTCGTTGAGGCGGAGGTCTGTGGTGATCACGGCAGGCAGCTTCATCCCGATAGTCTCCAACCCGCCGTCGATCTCACGCACCACCGTCAAGTTAGAGCCCTCCACGTCCACCTTGGAGGCAAAGGTCGCCTGCGGCCAACCCATGAGGCTTGCAAGCATCTGCCCCGTCTGGTTGCAGTCATCATCGATTGCTTGCTTTCCCAAGAGGATCATGTCTGGCTTCTCCTTCTCTGCCACAGCCTTGAGCAGCTTCGCCACCGCCAAAGGCTGCAGGATGTCGTCGTGCTTCACATGCATGCCCCTATCCGCACCCATGGCAAGAGCCGTGCGAATGGTCTCCTGCGCCTGTGCAGGTCCGATGGAAACAGCGATGATCTCCTTGAGAATGCCCTGCAGCAAGCTCTGATGAGACCCTGCAACCTAACCTCGCGAACCAACACTAGTCGCTTACCTTCTCCTTCAGCCTGACCGCCTCTTCCACAGCGATCTCACAGAAGGGATTCATGGACATCTTCACTCCTGCCGTCTCGACTCCCGAGCCATCGCCTTTCACCCTCACCTTCACTGCATAGTCGATCACTCGCTTGACCCCCACAAGCGCCCGCATTGTCCTTCACTAGGGACCACCCTACCTAATCCTCAATGATACCTCCACCGGTACTCAGCTGCTCTGTCAACCACCACCCCTGGGGGTCATTCCTCCACCCTACCCACCGATTTCAATGCCGTTGCGGGTGCCCAAATGGATTTCTTTCCTTAAAAGGCTATATAGTCAAGAAATTGCATCCAACCCCACAATTACATTACCCACCCTCCAGATTCATCTGATTTACTACCCCTACCACCTGGAAATCGTATTATCGAAGGGTAAAGACCTGGTCAAAAATTGAAGTGATGCGGTTTCTTCTCAATTGACCCCACCCCAAGTGACCCCACCCCTCAGTGACACAGAACTTGACTATTTCAATTGCAGACATGGGGTGCATAGTAACCCCACCTACCCTTTTACCACCCCTGTTTGCTAGACCCCGTTTGGGCCAGGCTGCAGGGACATTGACTACATGTATATAGTCAAAAATTCCTATCAAATATTTGACTATTGCAGCTTTATACGGCAGGGTTGCAGCAGTTACAATACGTTACAAGCATCCTGACCTCCACAACACGTGCGCGATGCAACAGCCGAAGGAGGTAAGAGCAACATGCTGGTGAGCCCCTTATGAAAACACAAGATAAAGGCAACGCAAGAAGTCTTCCCTCCCAGGTAAAGATCATACATGACACGGACCTGGGCTTCTCACACTCACATGTTACACAACTTAGAGAGATCCTTACTGTACTTTTCCCCGATTATCTGATATGTATTTGTGGTGTGAAATGCCCTGATGGTGATATCAAGTTCTACGAAATTTTATCTCTCTCACATAGCAACATACACATAAACGCAAAAACGCACACGTATACACACAGTGAGCGTGTGGATGACGCGCTTCATTGCCCAATGATTTTTCTAATCGTCCGAACGCACCATGTGGATCCAATAGTGTGCATGTATTGGATGAGGGCACAGAGGAGCTAATCATATCACGATCAGATCAATTACAGCAGTTGACGCCTCCCTTCTTGTGCAGGGGGAATATGATGGAAACGAGATCGATGCTGTGTCTTCAGATTTCTGGGAGTTGGTGAGTTAATCTCCCTTGTCTCTTGACTGTCCTGTCGCCAATGAGAAAAATGATTAATTTTTCGTGGCTGAAACTTTGATGTGGAAAAATCGCTGCGTTCTTAATGATTTCTGTCTGTCTTCTACCAATCTTTGTTTTTGTTGCAGCAACATGTTGATTGACATTGTGGTATTAGACTTTCGCGGGACACCAATGAAACATAGTTTTGATCAGTGCTGGTGCAATTAGCTGGTTCGATTCCAGCCTGATTATGATCCATCTGCAATGCGGGTACAAGGGGCGATCATACATGTTTAATGCAATTTTATGTAGATTTTGAGATTCTAGAATACAGACGTCGTTCTAATCTTACGCTACCGCTACTGGTTCAAGAGCGTTGATCACTGGAACCGGAGGATCTTGTGTGAAGTCTAGGCGAACGAGATCTGGGCGCTTGACTTCTTCCTTCACATACTTCTCGAACTCCTCTGTAGCAAGATCAGAAAACACATTTCAGCATACTAGAGAAAGGTTACCCTCAGTCAGCAAGCACTCATCAAGAATGGTTTCAATTCCAGCCCTGTCGATTTCTGGTCCGATGAAGACAATCTCTTGTCGACGATCTCCCCACTTGTTCTCAGGCCCACCAAAATCACGTGCGATCTGAATACATAACTTTAGAGATGGGTTGCATGCAAACTCAAGCTCACGTCTCGCAAAGAAATCTCATCATCAGGCCACCATCGAAGATCTGTGGAGGCCCAGAATTTGCCGAAGTCCTTGAGTTCGAAAAATCGACCAGCTTGGGACCTAAATGTTTGATCACCACCTTCTGACGGAACAGCTGTGGAGCGTATTATCTCACCAGAAAAGTGGCTCATCATGCTTGGTGGAAACCCACATAAATCCCTTGCTTCGAAGGACCCGGAACATGGGAGACTTCTTATTCTCCTGGAACACTCATCAGCGAAAGCGCTGCCAGTGGTTTATGCTTACGTGATCCTGCTCTTCGTTATCGATTGCGGGATTTCCAACAATAGGTAACTTCATGATGGCCGCCTTGACCCTCTCGGTATCGAAAGGGCGACGCCTTATACAAAGTTAGCTATCGACAACTTTTGCAATCAAGCAACACCTGGAGTAGACGAAAGAAGTGATTCCAAACTTGGACTGCGGAGATTCGACAACTTTGCTGTGGGAATGGGTAGGATCATTGCAATTTGGATCTGAGCACTCCTCCTTGGCCACAACGCTGTGCTTGTGGGTAGGGTCCTTGCAGTCGGCGTCCTTGCACTCCTCCTTGGCCACAACGCTGTGCTTGTGGGTAGGGTCCTTGCAGTCGGCGTCCTTGCACTCCTCCTTGGCCACAACGCTGTGCTTGTGGGTAGGGTCCTTGCAGTCGGCGTCCTTGCACTCCTCCTTGGCCACAACGCTGTGCTTGTGGGTAGGGTCCTTGCAGTCGGGATCAGAGCAAGCTGCACTCATTTCACTCTGAATCTGCGCGACAGTCCTCTTGAAATCCATTTCTTCATCTCCCTCAGCCGCCCATTGCTTCTTCTTCGATCCGAAAACGACTCCGACATCAACGTCACCGTAGGAGCAAGGCAATACAGTAGCAGTGGGATTCAAAGCATTCACAACAGCCTTGAGCTCTTCGTTCTTCTCTGGCGTAACGGTGTCCTGCTTGTTAAGCAGAATGTAATCTGCAACCTCAACTTGCTCTGTCAAGAGCGAAGCAACCTTGCGCATGGCTTGCATTTCCAAGGCAGATTCCTCAACAAGCTCTGACTTGAGCAGCAAAGGATCCGCAGAATTGTAAATTGGCAAAAAGTTTCCAGAGTCAACGACAGTGATCATGTTTTGCAACTTGCAGTACTGGGTGATAGGGTGCTCAACGAGTTCCAACTCAAAGAATTGTTTGCGAATGTTCTTCGGCTCAGTCACACCACTGCCCTCGATGACAAGGCGATCGAACTTCTCGCCTCTCTCAGCTGCAACCAGAAGAAGTTTGCCGAGAGATTCGATAAGGTCATCCGAAGCAGAGCAACATGCACATCCATTCTGCATCTCGATAACGTCTGTGTCAACTCCGCTTCCATCCTGTTGAACCTTTTGTCTGATTCCATCAGTCTTCACCAGCTTAGAGTCAATGTTGATCGCTGCAAGATCATTCACGACAACTCCGACCTTCAATCCTCCCTTGCCGCTCAGCATCTTCTGCAGCAAAGTTGTCTTTCCGGCTCCCAGGAATCCAGACAGAACTGTTACTGGAGTTTGCAAACTAGAGTCCTTCTCAATTTGCTGTTTCACGTCCTCGGACACGGATGCAACCATTCCTAGGCTCATGGCAGAGCATGATCGCAGCTTGGAACGACACGCCGCACAACCACATCCCTCCTTCAAAGAGCACGAATGTAATGATGGCTGCCGCAGGGACAACCTGGCCAAGAGCGAGCCTCTCTTGGGCAGAGGCAAGCGAGAAGTAACCAGAAACGACTGAGTGACAAGAGGAGAGGCGAGGAGGAGGAGGAGGAGAAAGGAAAAATTGCTCTGCATCCCCGTGCGAACACGCGAGTGCACCAGCATGGCGGGATCGAATGCCACAAACCCTGGATCATATAATTGAGGGGTGGGGGTCCTGAAAAGAGTGTTTACTACCCCTACTAATGACATGAAATGATACGGTACTAGTGGTACTGTCAGGGTGGTGTAAACTGTAGGCAAGGCGAGAGGAGGCTGGGGCAGGGTAGGTTCGAGGCTGAAACTGGTAGGTTGGGGTCATACGTTCTGTTGGATTCGATATGCAATGGTGGGGTATGAAATAGTATTAAAGGGGGTACATTGAATGGGAACCGGTTAATACTGTAGGGTGGTTTCCACAGGGTTATACCGTGAGCAGGGTAGGGTAGTCCCATATAAAGATCAGGCACGGGTGAAAAACCAGGTGAAGGAGATATGCAGTAAAGTGGGTGGGTGACTGAAGGCAAATGGAGGGGTCTAAGTTAATGAATTCTTCTCCAAAGGGTAGGGGTAGTAGAAGGTGAAAAGGAGGAAATTCATACCACCCTACCCCGTGTAATATTTCAGTGTTTCCCCATCTGTACCCCGCGTTTTACCATATAACATACCCGTGTCATAACCACCCCACCCAGGAATAACAGGCTGTTTGTGCTGTAAAGCTAGATTTTTGGAGATTTAAATTGGGATTTCCTAGTTGTTGCTGAAATTACATAGATACATTTCATCTTATCTCGAACCGGTTTCAACCGTATGAACTTGGCTCAGCCGGACTCCGTCCCCGGGCGACGCCGGTCCTGACTCGGAGGCTCAGTCCAACCAGTCCAACTTGAAGGCTTCGGGAGTCCGGCCGGGCCCTCCAGCCTCGGAGGCTCAGCGACCGAGCCGCCCGGCCGCGTGAACGGCCCGGGGGGGGGGGGGCGTCCCCCGCCCCTGCAGCTTGGGCACTTAAAGTCCGGCTCGGCCTCGGCCGGGCCCCCCGAACCGAACTGTCGGAGGCTGCGGCCCGGAATTCAGCGGCTGCGGCCCGGCGGAACGGACAAATTACTGAGTTCCGAAGCCTGAACGGTGACGGTTCAACGGTTCAACGGTTTTATCATCCGATGATCCGACCCACCGCCGGGGCCGCACTGAAACGGTGGCATGCCATCATGATGGGCCCTGCGGCTCACTGTGATATGCCGGGTCCGGAACAGAGGCAGCGGCACAGTTCAAGCAAGCCTTTCAGTCACGGTCTCCCAGCTCGAACGTCGGCGGCGCCGAACCCGGTGTGACCCGCTTTCAATCAGCCCCCGGCGAGGCCCGGCCCCCCCATCATGGCATTGTACCGGTATCCGGGCCATGCCATAATGAGTACGGGCTCCGGCCCGGCCGGGAGGCTTCAACTTCAATCCGGACTCAACCGTACTATGGCAGTCACAACTCCAGCGGCTGGCACTGTCCGTCCGAGCCACCGTCCGCGGCAGTGAGTTATCATCCGAAGCAGGGTCGGGCTGCCAGTGTCACGCGGCCTTTGAGTCAGTGATTCAAGTACGTCACGAGTTCGGAACTTGTTACTCAGCCTACAGGCTAGACAACCGTATGGCAGCCTTATGTCTGAGTACTGTATACCGTGGCATAATCCAGTGATCATCAGTGGATGTATGATGTTTGCCAAGTATGATGTTCTTTTTGACGGTATGATATATGTATGTCACAGTGTGTCAGTGTACTGTATGACTAGGTCGGCGAGTCACTGAGCCTGTGGGCGCGGCACCCAGTGTCACAGTCATGCACTGGGCACTGCGGCAGTTATCAGCTTCAAGTGGTGTGACATGCAAGTAGCTAGTGACTGAGTACAACTGATGTTCAAGTTCAGATCTTCAATCATCGGAGGGAAAAAGCAACAACAAGAAAAAAGCAGTCATTCTCACAGCGGCACTAGAGGTGAGTTATTCTCATCCTTCTCTTCACTTTTGCGGCAGCCACTTGGGAACAGCGTTTGCTCGCTCCACCTGCTGCTGCTGCTGCTCTGCAGAAGGGCGCAGGTTGTTCATCCATGCCGGCGAGCCTCGCTCAGAAGGAGGAAGGGTGTAGGAGTTGGAGTCAAGGAACTGAGCGAAGGCAGCAAGCTCCTGCTTCAACACAGGCGCTCCTTGCTGCATGCAAGCCGTCAGTCTCCTCCATTCAACCCCAGCAGAGGGTCAGCTGACGTTCTCCGTCGTCCAGAAGAAGTTGAGGAGGGAGGTAGGAACCAGCGAAAGCTCGCTCAGCGTCTTGCCGATGAAGTTGGGCTCTGTCACCTTCTTGACAGGCGGCCTGCGGGAGCCAGTGATGATGATGATGATGATGATGATGATGATGATGATGATGATGATGATCAGGAGGAGGAGGAGGAGGAGGAGGAGGATCAGGATGAGGAGAAGAAGGAGAGGGAAG